TGTTTGTCTTTCTTCTTGAATGATAAGTTTGATTAGAGCTTCTAAAGTTTCCGTCTTTTTCTCAATTGTTACCACAAATATGAAATTACTGTAATCATCTACGACTGTTCCATCTATTGATTTCTCAATTGGTCCAACTAAATATATGTGCCATAATTATAAAGTATCTTCAGATTGGTTACATTTCACACGTTTATAAGATCTTTTTACCTCTTTCGATCGACGAAAGCCTTAACGTTTCGCACGGTAGACACGCTTGAGAATTTCAGTTTTCGCTCAATCGTTAGTAGAAGTCGAACGAGAAGGATTGGTTGGCCTGCTACGTCGCTCTCGTATCGATATCTCGTCGCACGGTAGGAAGATACGGCCCTCACAATTCACTCACATTGTAATGGAGTAGTTTTGCTTTTGAAACATAATTGTCATTTGAAACAGAATTTGTGCGATAAGGTGTCTTTTTTTTTAATCACTAATTTAATTTTTTGAAATCACTTGTGGGTATAATAATTTCAAACTAGGCCTTATTTGCTAATCTATTATAAGTAAAAGCCAAAGGCAAATTGTTCCATATCTCTGACCATTTTCGTATACTGCATACTTTTGTAACTTCTCTAACTACTTTTGTATACTGCTCGGAACAAGGCGTTGGTTTACGGAGTACCTTTGCTTTAATTAAGCAGTTACCTTCAGAACTAGAGTCTGGGGTTTATCATGCTCGGCTGCTGGGAGCCCAAGGATAAGGCTCCTATATAGCCTTATCTAAGGGCCTTACCCAAGGAGAAATATCAATCCACTCTATGGTTGTCATCTATGAAAGTAACAACCTTGTGCTAGTTGCCATACTTCTGTAATAAATGTCTATTCATTCTAGAAAAAGGCCTTGGCGAAGGGTGTGCTATTATTAGAAAAGTTGCCGGTTAATATCTATCTGACGTTATTAGTTAGGCGTTAAGTTAATAAGAATTTATTGATACTAAAACAGTTATCAATACAAAATTTAACTCTGCATAATCTGCTCCAATGGCTCCTCGTTTTCAGTATCCTACTGCAAAGAGGGATGAAGGTGTTATTGATGATTACCATGGTGTTAAAGTAAGAACTTGAAGGCATATTTGTGATAATTTGGTATTTTGAGATAATTTGGTAATTCACCATAGACAAGAGTTAGGCTGTATACTTTTCTTAAATATATTGCCATAGGATCATCCTGCTGTGTATGTTTAGAGTGTTTGTACTTGGCGGGATAATCGGCTTATGTGATGTTACTGAAAATCATTCTTTGTTGCTCGAATCGTTGTTATCTGAATGTTAATACCTTACGAGAGAGTAGCCTAAAAATTTTTGGCAATTCTCTGACAAATATCGTTATCTTTTGAATGGATGAATGCGTTCATGAGTTAAAATTTGTTCCTATTTCTAATATAAAGGGTGGGATAGAATTTTTGAGCAAGTGTGAAACATAAAGCATTCGAAATTATTTCATTTTTCTAGTGAAGAGCTGTTAAACAACTTTTTGCTTTTGGGGATGTGAATTCATTTATTAAATTGCTCTAAATTTGGTGACTTATCAATGGCGATTTTAAGATCAGTTTCTATTGAAAATTTTTAATTCTGAGATCTGGGAATTTTTCGACGATTTTTTAAACTATTGTAACATAAGTTTCATTAAAATAATGGTAATATATTGTAATTACATTTAAGAAATAACATTAAAATAAAGCATTTTTATTTTTTACTGTCGTATTATAAAGTTCCATTTTAGCCACTTTTTATACAATATTTTGAATCTGAAAAATAAGCAAGGTATAATGCTATTTTAAAGCACAATTTACAAAACGGTTCTTAGCAAAAGCAAAATAGCTATGTAATTAATTAAGAATTTCTTTTTAATTTTATCTTGGTAAGAGTTTCCTCATGTAATTGTCTCAGAATATGCGTCAGTTTTCTCTATAAAATTAATTTTACACATTTTTATCCGATTTTTTAAAAAAATATTTCTGGCTTTTTGCTGTTACTGAATTGGCAGGGGTCATTTTTCTTTTGGATTTTAGACATTGCAGCTTGGAAAGTTTAGAAAGATTTGAAGGCAAGATTTATAGATCCACTATTCTGGAAGATTCCAAAAAAATGTGGCAAAATGAAAAATGTCTCTATGGTATTATACATAATTCTACTTTTTGAGAACATCTGGAAGAGCAATAAAACATAATAGTTGAATTTTAGTTCTGATACTAGAATCTTTTTCTTAACATTTTTATTTTTCCCATTTTTTTTTATTTTTCACTAGACACAAGCATAAAATATCAAAAATGCTTCTAATCTTATCATAGGACAGACATTATAGAAAATAATTTTTTTATTAATAAAGAAATTGAAAACTGACAATTTAAACGATTCATGCTTAATGCATCATACACGCTAAATCGTGCTGCTTGGTGCCTTTGTAAATTTTGCTTCCAATGCCTGTTCTAAATTCTAAAAGTTTTGACATTTCTAGATTTTGTTGCTCGATGTGTGAATAAATTCAAAAAATTCTGACACACCAGCTCTGTAACCGGACCTTACCATATATATTGCATATTTCTTCTGAGTGTTCATATTACTATAAAATTAGCAGCTTTCTCTATACATTCTAAATGCATTTAGTATTTTTAGAATAACAGAAATCTTTAATTAAATCCAAAAACTTTCATAAAATGAAAAGGAAATGGGGAAGGAAAAAACTGAATACATTAAAAGAAAGGAAAATTATTCTTCAAAGATATGTACAGATATTATTATGTAAATTACCCAGTTGTTTACAATTTCAGCCTTTACTATAATTTTCCATTTCTATTTTCTCACCAGAATGCAAATCACTTAAACAGTTTTTAAACTGAGGTTTTTGGAGTTTAAGACAAGAATGTGTTTCTGATCTCCACTTGCTCTCTGCATTAGTTCCTGCCAGCTCTGATAATTTGCAATTATTTGTCTTTACATTACCGCTGCCGACGTTTGAATTTGTTATGACAATAGACTGTATGAAATTGTATAGTCTTTGATGACTAGTTCATATTTTTATTTTGCATTTGATTCTCCTTGTTTAATTACATCACCATGAGCTGTAATTGATTTTTTAGCATAAGAACATGCTTTATGTTCTTTTTTTTAAATAAGAAGTTTATTTAAATCTTTATAGTTACTTTCAGATATAGCGATGATTTGCTTCACATGTGTCTGGAGGGTTTGGGACTATTTAACTTTTACCAGATCAAGTAAACCCTCATAGGTACATTTTGGAGAAGTTGACAGGTTAGGAGATAAAAAACGTAGAAACTAGAGAACATTGTCCTGCGTATTGAGAGAAAGTTCTAACTGTTAGAAAAGATGCTGGAAGAGAAGAAAGTTGATATAAATTAGCCAAAATGTCTGGGAAGGCTTCAAATTAAAAGACGAATAATTACAAATTATCAGAGCTGGCTAATGTGTAATTATCCGAATATTGTTTAAGAATCAATGTCATAAACTACATGTATTTTAAACTGTAAAATTTTATTAGATCGGGATTTTAATAGGGCCTTTTTTAACAAATATTGTTACAAAATTTAATAATGGCCATGTAAATCCATAATGACTAAGGTTGTCTTATACCTAATTTAATTATTTATAACTAACTGCTTGCCCTTAAAAATTATCTCTGCACATTAAAGTGAGTTATTGCCTTTCATTAACCCTTACTGTCACAAGATAAAACATAAAAATGTAAAAATTCATGTAAAACTTATTCTTCACATCTAGTGAGTCTTAAAATAATGCAAAACAACTTGTCACCTCTGGTGCTTTAGTGGATTATTAGGATCTTAGACTATATCAACTGAGTTACAATCCCTGGAACTCTACAAGAAGCTACGACATTAACTGCGTCAGACAGACCTCAGCTAACTTTCAAAATTGCGAATCGTGCTTACATCAGGCCTTAAAGTTTGTTCTGATCATCAGGTCTCTCCTAGGCAAGCAGGAGCGGCGATAACAGCCAGTCTTTTGTTTTGAATCATGCTGATTGTGATTTTACTTCTCATTTTAACCTATGCCACTTGACATAAAATCTACTTACTATTTACTAAACTCATAGAGTGAGCAAGTATGTGACAAAATGAGACATTAAAAAAAAAAAAAAAAAAAAAAAAAAATCAAAGCTAACTGTTAGTAAAACCTAAATAAAATGTCACTTATCTTCTTTCAAATATGTGCACTTAGTATGAGAGTAAAATATTTAATGATAAATTTCATAAACTTTATTTTATTCTCAAACTTACTAATAATTATATTTAATACTAATGCATCCTACTTATGGATCTATTTATTTTTAGGATGGTATGACAAAGTGAAGTTCAGCATAGATAATATTTTTAATTGAATTTATTCAGTTCCCATTTGCTTATAGGTCCTTAATTTTTTCATGAATGGTCCTTAAAAGTCCTTAATTTCCATGTGCAGAAATGTGTACAAACCCTGCCAGAATACCTCGTATCTCTCTCACTAAGACCGAAGAACTTCGTGGTTAAATACCGCTCTTCCTCATTATATATTCAGACGTGATTCTAAAACTACCTTCTGGCTGGAAGTGGTAAGTTGAAGTTAAGAATTGATAGGAAAGGAAGTTTAACTAAAAATTTAAGTGTTAAAAACTATATATATATAAATAAAAATTAAAAAAAAAACTGAACATTTTAAGAGTTTTGCAAAAATTCGATGCTCTACACTATAAGAATTTAGAAAATGAATAACTATTGTTTTAAAATTTTAGGCCATGAATCTAATTATGTGATGTAAATAAACCATACTTTTGCATTCCCTTCCGGGGACAACTGTGATACCCTTTAACATTAATATTTAATTTCTTATGTTATTTTTCTGTTTTGCATTATGATCAAAAAGTAAAATGCATTTGTGGTTGATCTTTACATTATGGTAACTTGGCGATTTTTTGGCGAAAATTTGGCGACCAACTCTCCTACAGCAACCCTCAATTTTTTTTTTCCCGCCGCCATTTTGTCTTCACGAAGTAAAGACATGTTTCTTTTCTTTTTATCTACTGAACACTTCTTCCAACAATCTACTAGCCGAATAACACTTATGCTAGAAATTATATCTAACAAAACTGCTTAATCATGACAAATATTCACTGCAAAATTGGGAAAAAGTGCACAATACCATACTCCTTACGCATTTTTCAAAATAACACATACACATAAACCATGTACAAGTCGACTTATTTTTACTTAAAAAAACATCCCATAATTACACAAAAATGGCATTGCGCACACTCTTCACTATATCCATGTACACTGCTTTTTTCTCATAAAATTAGAAAAATTTCACGAAAATACGTGACAATTTTCTGAATCTTTAAACCCGGTAAGAAGAACATATATAAAATTACCTGATCACGAAAAAGTATATACCCTTTCCAAATATGAACATTTCCACATATAAAATAAATAAAATATCCAAAAACTTTTACCTCTAAATCATCTATTATATTATAAACGTCACCAACGAATTCATACCGCAAGCATTACAAATATTTAAATTATTTCCATGCACGTTTACTTCAACTAAAACGTATACCAAATTCCTACAAACATAAAATTCACAAAATAACTATCATTTAATTAAAATATCAGTAAACCATGTACACGTCGACTTATTTTTACTTAAAAAAAAAAAAATCCCACAATTGCACAAAAATGGCATTGCGCGCACACTCTTCACCATATCCATGTACACTCCTTTTTTCTCATAAATTAGAAAAATTTCACGAAAATGCATGACAATTTTCTGAATCTTTAAACTCGTTAGAAAGAACATATATGAAATTAACTAATAACGAAAATGTATATACCCTTTCAAATATGACATTTCCACGCATAAAATAAATAAAATATCCAAAATCTTTACCTCTAAATTATCTATTAATTATAAACGTCCCAACGAATTCATACGCAAAACATACAAATACTTAGTGTCAAATATTTAAATTATTTCCATGCACGTTTACTTCAACTAAAACGTATACTAAATTCCTACAAACATAAAATTCACAAAATAAA